ATCCGCTGTGATTGAATGGTGTTGATTTCATGATAATACTGTTGTATATTAGTAGATCACAAAATTTGTCAGCTTTATTTTGGTTTATCAACTTATTTATGTTTTGGATAAAATCACTGGAAAAACATTCATACAGCATTATTTTTTGAAGAATTCAGAAATTAACATAAACATGTGAGATTATTTGTGTCAAGATATATATTATGGTTCATTAGCGTTGAGGTAATTCTGACTTCATCAGCATATTTTTTTACTAAAACATACGTGAAGTACGATTGAGGTGAGTAAAGTGCACCAAGGTGTTTTACAAGCAGGATTCGGGCGGTTGCTTATATGGATCAATTTCCAAGTCATTTGATATGCACTTAATATTATACACCAATTTATCAATGTCGACAGTTTAAACGCTTCTTGTTATCTTAGGAATAATTCATTAGCTCTAACCCAAACATCGACGTAATATTTAATCTGTTTTCAAGCGTATGTCATATTCTGTCACCACCACTGTCGTGAGGAGTAGTAGAATATATTGACGCATAAGTACTTAATCTTCCGATGGCATCATTGATAAATATTGCAAAGATTCATTTTTCTTACTGTATTCTGACAAGGGTCTTAGTAGACATGTCATTGTGTATTTGATATATATGCAAGAAACACCTATGAGTTATGGTTCATTTTGGCAAAAATAAAATGTCATTGCTCAGTTGTTAGTGAGAATGTCCAGCGTATTTTCTGAGATCTTGTTGAAATAAAAAATGTCATTGCTAAGTTGGTAGTAGGAAGCTCCAGTAAACTTTGGAGATTCTTCTGTAACTATATTGTAATTATTTAGTTGATAGTGGGAAATTTTGTGAATTTTGAAAGAGTCTACTTCGTATATGGATTATTGTCTCTAATTTATGATACATTTAGGAAGTATGACATCGACTTGGTCACTAGTTGAAGAGCAGCTTTCTCCTTGTTGCAAGATAGATATGTAGCGTTCTTGTTTCCCAATTCTCGTTAGAAATGACACGGTGACATTTGTAATAAGTTTATATAGGAACAGTCATTAAAATGGGCCCCTTTTCTTTTACACCATGACAAAACATCGACAAGCCAGATATCTAAATGTCAAGGTTGATTCAAGGCTTTTCAAACCTTCACAGAATTGATTTTAAACGATACATCCCTTAAAAGGTTTGCGACCTGTTAGAAGTGTATTCATCGACCTTGCGATTTTATCAATGAAGATGTTAAGTTCTCTCTGGAATACAGCTATCATAAGTCAAACGTCACTTGACATTTTAAGGGCAATATCTAGATTTCGCCATCGTTTACGTGTCTATCAATTTCAAGGTGACGTTTAAATCGCTATCATGATATCTAGGATTTTTGCTCTTGATTAATCTGCAAAAACCAATTCAAACATTTTAGAAAGGAAGTGAAGACTTGGCGGGCCGATAAGTAATCTATGGCTTTGAACCTGGTCACTTTCCGGTTATCGAAACGTTTTACTCTCTTATCATGTTCACGGTAACGCTTGGTTGCCATGTTGACCGAATGTCTCGAAAGCAGAGCCGTTAACATGCTGACATGTTGTATTGCAAAGCGTGTTAATTTAGATGGTGATACAATTATTGTCATTTAGGGTTTGAAAGGTCGTCACAACGAGGTTCACGTGCGTTTTCAGGTCATTAACAGGATCAGTGGACATGATTTCCATAGTGATAAATACATAGATTGTCAGGTCGGCCACACAATTACCAAGCCGTACGCGCGGTCTATTCTCCGCCAGATCGCTAACATTTGGCTTTTGCTTAGCAGCACGATTTGCAAGTGATGTGATGAATTCATTTTTATTATACCAGTATTTTAAGCAATGAGGTGCAAATATTTGAACAGAAACATTTAGAACAATACAAAGAACTTTTTTTTATGATCATCGTGTGCTTCCCTTGATTCGATAACTTTATAAATCGATATGCCGTATAATGCATAGAATATAAAATATATTCCTACATTTTAATAGATCAATTTTATCCGAAGCCATGATGTCATGTCTTAAACATATGTCTTTATATCAAAGTTTTATCAGGTGGGCTGAAATTAATTTCTCACAGTAAGTCATTTTTTTGTTTTGATAAGAACACCCAAAACTGATATAATATAAGGTACCTGAATACGTTGAGAAGGACCGTATTCCTTTTATATCCTAACAAAAACACCTTCCTTAGATTTTACACTGTAACGCCCTGTCTTTCTTTAACTATTGACCTTGCAAACACACTTTTGTTCTTGGTATAAAGCTCTTCTTCGACTAAGAATGTCTATTAAACCGCATGTTTGTGTTGCATGAATTCTGCTATTTGCTATTTCTCCGTTTATTAAGGCTTTTAAAAATGTATTCACCACAGGTGTTCGCCAAGTGTGTCCCGCTGAACTCTCCTGTTATAGAGGTCCATTGGTCACATTCAAATAGTTCACAAATGGCCGTTACTTGGTGCCAACAAAACTATATGAATATGTGGCCAAGCACAAAAATCACTGTTTTCTAAACATTGAAAGAAATCTATTCTTTTCAACCAAACGATTAATCACATGATTTTAAAGAAATCCATATTTGACAAATCGTATATAAAGATAGTAGTAAATTACATATAGCCTTTTCTGAACTTACATTTTGGCATATCACTTCAAACAAGGAGATAGGTCCACGTGCACGTGTTCTTACAAATTTTGTACTTCGAGTTGTTATCCATTCTTACAACTTGTTTACAGTATACCATTGATTATAGCACAACTACCCCCAGCATACACAATAGGTTAGGGTTACTCAGCTGTTCGGCAGCTTTTGTGATAGAATCAGAACGGATGTTTTGAATATTATGTAAATTTAAAATCTGTGCCAAAGACCTAAACATTGTGCGTTTCTCTACGACGTTCCTTTTTGTAGTGTGCTACTATAAAATAAACATGTTCTGATAATGTCAATATCTAGCTTAAATCAATATCATTCATGGAGCCATGACCTAAATCGTGTTTGAGAAACAGAAAAATGAATATGTATCAAATCCTAGGTGAGCCTGGAAGGCTTCTATAATATTTACTGCCGAATTAAAATGTGCATAGAATCGATTCCGGGTTATTTTAAACTGCACAATTTTAGTCCTAGAAAATAGAATTGCACAACACAATGTCCACTTGCTTTTTGCTGAGAGTGTATTCATTCATTTTAAAAATAACGATGTAGATAATATTTAAATAAAATATGAACGAATTTTATCACGATTGTTTTGGGCGACTGTTGGTTCTTATCTTAAAAAACAGGTAGAAACTACATTTTTAAGTTGTATTGATTTCTTTAACGCCCCGAGATAACCTGCTGATTGCGTTCATGCTTTCAAATAATGTACCGTGAAGATAACGGATGCCCAATATCACCAACAGGAGAAAGATTACAGGTTCTCTGATTAAAAGCTAAAACATAATGTGTCAGGAAAATTCAAAAAAATTAAATCGTGCTTTAATGTTTGTTTGTTAAAGGAGCGGTAACACGTGTGTGTTGCGATAATTCAATATGTATTATAAGGAGATCATATTGTTGTCGCTAAAGCCGCTGTCATTTGCATGTGTTCGAATCACATATAAAAATGAAGCATACTTTCGCTTTGTGTTTTTAAATCTGAACTATCTTGCACGCGTTGCGATGATTCAATAAAAAAGGACATAAAATTTCCTCACTTCTGAAAGAACAGTTTAAAAAACTTGTTCGTATACTTTATTTAACCCCAAATCTGAAAGTAAGCCACTGCTGCTCAGTTCAGTATGATCAAAATCGGGGAACCACTGTTCCTTTTATTATTTAGTGGAGTAAGATGCATAGCTTAAGACACTCCACTCTCTGTTTTACATTTTTCATTTTCTATACCAACCGAATTTGAAATGTTGAAATCCATACTCTTATGTAGAATACATATAGAGGCTATGAAAATCGGAGCTCTAGTCGTCTTCTTCTTGCTTAATTTCTGCAAAAGAAAAAAAAAAAGAAAAAAATGCTTATCGGTTATTCGTGAATAAAGCATCAAAGTGAACAAACGTCATTTTCCTAAGATAGTTCAATAACCCTAAACAAGGTTTCTTATGGGAATAGTCTGTTAAGGATTTGTCTTAAGATAATAAGCGTTCGTGTGTCTTGGACAAGATACTTGAACAGCTAGCGTTAAGGTGACAATGCTTATTGAATTCTATCCGGTTATTCGATATTGTTGATTTAGACTAGAGTCATCAACATGTTGTTAAAAACTGTTAACGAGTCCAATTAAACGTCCAATTATTAAATATCCTTCCAAGGGTGTGGTTTAGTAGAATATTCAATAAAATCGATTCCAGTTGCTCCCAAAACCGATTCGAATGGTATTTGTTTAAAAGTTACAGTTTAACAGAAAGTATGTTGTTATTTTTCAACACAAAGTTGATCAACCAATTATTTGAAATTTGATTCATAACTCAACAGTGTACATACACAAAAGCTAAAGTCATTCATGCTTGTAATAGCAGTAATTCTGAATAAACAACCCGAAAGCGCTGAGGCTATAAATGGGATCGTTAAAAGAAATCAATGCCCAATCAATATTACAAGACAAAATATTTTGTTTTCCAACTCAGTAAAATATATAAAAGACAACTACGTGGAACCACAATGCAATTAGCATACGGATTATTAATATATGTTACTATATGATATAAATATTTGTATCCTGTTACCCCACCCGTTTGGAGCCCTTAGACAGCCGTTATTAAATGTTATGAGCACAACGACATTGCTTTGTCAATAGTATAATCAGAAACGAAAACAATTGGGGCGGGAGAAAATCGGACGTAGACTGTGGGCCCAGTCAACGCTTTACTTGGGCGGTGGTTTGTTCTGTAGTTATTACAAGAACCCAATACATCTAGAATCGTGGCCGCCATGTTAGAAAATACAGGCCTGAGAATTGTCAACAGTGTAAACAACACATATATCCTCTAAACGGAAGGGTGCGGGCTATCGTAGCGGGTAAGTAGCCGTTATAAGCTTATATCTAATATTGGAAAATTGGTAAAATCTAAATATAAATACTTGAGGTTTTTATTTACAAAGGTGTGGGCACACCACTTCTAATCAGTTATACAAAGTTGGAACATGTCGTTGAATCCTTTTAACACTAAATCTAGACCACGATATGGTGACCTTTTTAGACGAGAAAAAGGATCTCAATTTTCAAAGGCAGTGCTAGCTTAACCTTCCACTTGAGATAGCAATGCTTTTTACTACAGACGGTGTCTAGTACCGCTTTGTTGACATTGTATCTGGTTATGGGTTCGAGTGCATCCACATTGACCGTGTTTACGTCAGTGCGTTTGTAGCAGGATTAAGTTTCTTTGTTGTGTAAAGAAACCTATTTCCAACGACAATCCTAAATAAGGCACAAATCTCGTGTAAATACACTTCTACGCCGATATCACCTGGCAAATTCATAAATTAAGTGTTAATAACGGTATCGAGAGACTTAGTTTTAAATATCGGGAGTGTATTATTGATCAAAGTGTCTCGAGTTGTTGGCTAATTTGTGGTTTATACCAGGTCTAGATAGATAAACCGTGGCGAGATGACAGGAGGACCTTTAATAACATGCTGCTTGTTTTTGAGGCTGTTTTCGATTTGTAGAATTGAATGTATATTTCACATACAAAAAGGAAAACACTGAACAGGTTGATGCGGTACTATATTATATTCCCGATAGAGACCACATGACATTTTATGTACATTTTGTGTACTACTTTGAGATTTTCTGAAAATCGTTCATCACAAATATTTCAGTCAATAAGTGACAAAAGTACTTGAAATTGAAAAGCAATACTGTTCCTTATTTACCCGTCTGTCTATTCGTCTTTCCGTTGTGTTTGAGATTATTTGTTTAGACATTGGCATTTCTATTGCACTAATGAGAAGAAATCTTTCAAATGATCGGCTTATCCTCAACTCTGATCTGATCCTGAATCCGTCTTGAACATCTCAAAATGTTCTCGAATTATACAAAATGTATTTTTCTCATCTTATACTACCATTAAGGACTTTTATTTCGGTAAAAATGTTGTTTCATGGCCCTAAACATTGATATTGACCTCTACTTCGTTTCTGTCAGTGTTTCTTTCTAAGAGTCACATAACCACTTTTTCATATCAGCAAAAGTCCATGATTTCAATCTTGTGTAGCTTACTAAATAAACCACTCCATTGATCTCGAAACGTTGCCAAAGTCCCAAATACTTCAACTGTGATTTGCTGCGTATCAGAGTACGGTTGTGCCTCATATGTAACAGTTCGTGGATACCCTGCTCAGAAGTTCATTATCGTGCTCCAATTTACACAGTAGTAATGATGGCCATCTTTATCGAGTCGCTAATCCTTATTTCCATTAAATCGACTATCGAACATACCCAGTTATCCCCTTTGGGAACGACGAAGCCATAACTCATGAGCTTATGGATGTACTGATTTCTATTCATGAAGATTTGCGTTGCCGTGACAACAAAACATTTCTCCCCGACAAAGTTGGTCTTTGTCTGTTGTTAGCTTGGTATTGTCATAGACTTATGTATTAGATAATGATGGAAGATATTGATGTCACTGGAAAGAGAAATCCTATATAGCTTAGAATAATATGAGACCCACGACATCATACCATTCGGAACCTTTCTAATACTAGCACGCAAGGTGTATTGACTGGTCAGGAACAGGTTCCCGCCACACGCTTGTGGCACGTGCATTGCGTCTGCAATTTTATGAGTTCTTTATGTGCTGTTTCTACACGGCTTCAGGGTCGTTAACAGGTTATTGTTGCAGACGTAATTTCTACAATGTGATTGAAAGCACCAATAATTATTTACAGCAAATTCCCAGTAAATTAAATCGGTGTGTGATAGGTTTTGATCGATTAATGGCCTGGATTTCGCATGTGGTCGTGCCTTCTTTCACGATATATAAATTGATTTCGACAACGTTAGCATATACTCAAAAAGTATCAAACACGGTTTTGGCGAAAATGAATTATACACAAAATACATGTAGCTCTTTCTGGCGTGTTTAATTTTCAATTCGGGGGAAAATCGTTGATTAATTTGCGTTACTCTTGGTGTTTTGGAAGGACACTACTTTTTCAAGCATTTTGTTCGTGTTTCAGTCAATGCTAAAACATACAAATCTATCAGCAGAGCAACCCACAGTTTCATTTTTTACCCCGGACACTACCAAACAAACAACCGTACCTTTGATAGCAATTTATAAACCATCACAAAATCATTTGATAAATTATATTTTCATCGTCTCCGTGATAAAACTTTCCCTTGGCCTTTTGTTCCTCTTGACCACCGATAACTTGCCAACAGCTGAAAACTGACTCATAGCGTTGTTAGCTTGGCATTAAAATTGATAAGGTTTAATATCGTTTATAAAGAAGTTGGCAAGAATTTTACATAGGATTTTCACTGAATGCATTATGAGGTTAATCCAGATGTACTAGATATGAATTTCTATTGAAAATATGGTAGAAGATAAATAATTTTGACAATTGAGTATAGAGTGTAGAAGTTGACAATGCTGTGACGTCGAGGACAGCTGGTCTATATGTGGTCAGTACACAACATATGATCCTCTCCAAGGACTCCGGACTCGGGGACAGATACCATCAGTCTACAGACGGGGACAATACCCTGCCCAATCCAATAAAGTCATCATACGAAATTTATGAAATGATGGCGATTTTATCGACGTTAAGGATGCTTTTATGGTATCCTCAGCGGGCCGGATTGAATGGCCTCCCTTTGTCGCGAGGGCCTAAAGTGATTGGGGGGTTCATAAATAATACAGAAATCAGCAGGATGAGAGATGAAAAATGAAACTAACGTGCAGTGTTGATGGGGAATGATTTATACAAAGGCCGTAAAGGCGACGTATATTGTGAGTTACAGTACAAAGCCTTTGTCGGGCTTGCAGTTACCTCTACACCCTAAACATATGACATTGCTCATTGATATACGTTAAAGCTGCATGGTTTATTTGTTCGTTTATGGTTTTGTGTCCTCGCAACAACCCAGGTCATATGCAGATGGTTTCGTCTGAGGTTGGTATTACAAAAGGGCCACTTTACAGTGTAATCTCACTGAAATGCCACAGCCCGGATACGGTATAGTTTGTCAACCCGCCAAGTCACGTTGTACTGACTACGGGCTAACCTGATAGTGTTTGAGAGGCACTGCCAAAAGAAATGGCAGACGGAAGAAAATATTGTGTTCATTTCTTATTTGTGTCTGAATAGATATTTATGAGTCTTTCCTCGCGGTTTACCTCGAAAATGTATTGAAAATAATTACCAGTAATGATCTTTTCCTATCTCTGTCCATTATGACGACAAAGCATTCTTTTACCGTGGACTTTATCAGTCGAGTTATCAGTAATCCGAAAAGCTTACAGAATACCAAACAAAGTAAATATTTACATCTTCTTTTGCTCATCTAGTCCGTGATGTCCGTGCAAAGAGTGTTTAAGAAAATAAATTAGTGCGTGCATATTTAATTCTATGGACAAACTTATATCTTGTCAATTTTTCGTTAGTGTTTCAGTATTCTTGTGGATGTGCGAACACGAAGCGATATTTATAAGTAGAATTATAAGTGTGACGCACCATTCGACGACAGCCACTGGCATTACGTGATATAAAGACCAAGGAAACTTGTAAACAGAAAAATAGTTATTTTTGGTATCGGAAAGCTTTTTATATATAATCAGCCGCGCACATACAGTGGTGCTCAATCAAGTACACCTCTCGTTCCTAAGCAACGGATACAAATGGCGGACATAATGAATGTCAGTATTGAATACCAACGTCTTCGATTAATGAGTCCATGCAGTGTTATCAGTCGGAGGGAGAATGACAATATGTCGGCAGAGCGACAACCTCGTATTAAAGGACATATTAGGATTATATTTACAACGGTGGGCTATTCTCAAGCTTAATAGTTTAATGAACATCAATTATTTTCTGCGCTGTGAAGAACAGCTTTTATGATTTTCAAATGGAGTAAAGACGCCAAATTGTATGCACTTGTGATTACATAGACATTTTCCACGTTAACGTAATGCAGGGGAAACCGAGAGGAATTACGTTTAAAACATCAAAGTAAGTGATCTCCAATTAGAACAAGTTACTGCTACCTTATCAACGTCTATCTTAGCTGTTATTTGTTTAGCTTTCTGCAATCGGTTCTTTCCGGTACTTTCCGTATTGAATATTCCGATATCTTTCCGGGTGAAATTGCTGAGTCTAATTATGGAATATTAGACCGGAAGTTGCCTTTAAGATTAGCATCGGTTGATACTAACATGGTGTTAACACGAGCATATTCTAATTATGAAGTGTGTAAATAGGTAACAATGTATCTCCGGTAGTGGTGAGATGCATTCTGAACGATAGGATCTGCTTACAACACTGGAACAGTTCGTGGTCACAGTTACCACTGCTTTGTGCTAGCAGGTCAATACGAGTCACCGATCAAGGCTAGAATAGTACGTCGCAACCATTCGAGCGACATTCGATATTCATTCACCAACTGAAATCATGCTTAACGAATGTGGTCTCCCTTGTTTAAGTTTGTTACAGAACGTTAATGGCTTATCCTACTTCATTACATATCTGGTTTATCTTACTATAGCGATTCAGCCAGTTTCCATGTCATTTAATACAATGACCTGTATTTTACACTTGGATAACTCGTAATGTGATACTACTCCAGTAGCCAGAATAATTCCTTTTTTTGTTGGAAGCCATTGGTTATTATCCACAGGTCAATTTGCCTTATTGAAACAAGGATGGGTTCGGGACATTGTAGCGCAATTTTACGCAATGTAACGTGACGTCATGATGCCGTTACCGGCATCCTTTTTCAGCTATTGCTATTCGGCCACTGAGTAAAACATGGATGAAATTTACTGAAATAATATATCTGAACCAAAACCAAAAAAATGAGAAAGTCTGTAATGAAATAATAGCCTGTGAAAGGATGACTTCTTTGTTTGGCCTTATCAATTGTTTCTTTACTCATAGCTCATGAGGAAGCTCATAAATAATTCCTGTTACCTTTCTCACGGTCAAGAATATAAATAACCATCGTTAGTATTCTTTTATAGAACAAATTATACTAGAACTATAATAAAGGTAAAGGCAGTATAAGGAAGATGTTTACACTTCCGTTTAATCATATCATTATTAATAAAGTTGGGCGAAGATAATCTCTATATCGCCCCTGTCGGTGATACACTAAATCTCGATATGACCCCACACGAGTTCTAAAGGAGAACAAATAGGATTTCCAAAGGGTTCAGGGTCTTTTGTTTGCTGTCATAATGATATTGAGACATACAACGGAAGCAAGACATAACCTGACTATGATGTGGAGCTTTTGGGTTTAAAGATCAGCAATACGTGAATCTAATTTCTTTGTTAGTGTAAAGTAAAATTAAATGTTTGTATGACTTAGCAAAAGTTGTTTGGCACTTTCGCTTTCTTCGTAACGTTAGCATGTAACTTGATACACGACTGTTCATGATTTTTGCAATTCCTGAAGATATGATTTCTCTTCAGGTGTTTAGGTAAAAATGAAACAAAGATACACAAGGCAGGTTGGTACATGTTTAATGGTTTATTTTTTTTTATTTTTTTCAACAAACATAAAATTCCAATCACATATTAATGTACACACCTTGAAAAAAACATTTCAGGAAATAAAGCTGTAATACAATCATTTATTCATCAAAGTCATTGCCCATGGATATCATATTCTTACCTATGTCGTGTATACATGTGATGTATATCAAATTAAATCAATTGTATCACACCTTTTTAGCACATTTTGACAAATCCTAATCAAGCATAAAGACATGTACCTGTCTTAAAGTAATTAGGAAATTCTGTGGTCATTTTGCGGGAATTTAACTTTCCACGTATCACGAGTATACATTTAATCCGATTCATGCTAATGGAATTTTTATATCGAAATTTGATGAATCAAATGAAATCATCTGCCATTGAATTTTAACAACAGCACCGGTAACAATTGAGGTATTGTTTAAGGTAGAGGATGCACGTAATTCAGCGGAAAGACATTAATACTTTAGACGAATCAAGTTCATTGAGAAACTTTGAAATGTACACCTGCCGAAGGTTTCTCAGCATTCCGTAAACAAACACCTTCAGTGCCTGGATCGTAGGTGGGCCGTTAGGGTGCCTCCCTATGTAGGGTTCAGGGGACAGGTGTTCTGGGCTACACATGAACCACTCAGGTGTATACAGGTGTAGCGGCCACGAAACACAGGTAGCTTTGTCTAGACGATCATCACTGGAAATTCTACACGGACTCACCTCCATGTTGCGATGGTTGTAATGTTGCATATCGTGTAGTTAATAGTTCTTGGGAAAGGTGGGGGAAGGGAACCTGATCACGGCATTCAATGATGGAGTCTGGTTGGTTAAAGGAGATGGAACAGCAATTACTTTTTTGAAAGATTATCATCTCTATTAAAACAAATAATATCTTTGCATTAATCATATCCCTCCTCCTCCTCCTCATACTCTACTCATTCACATCATCATCATCATCATCATCATCATCATCATCATTATTTTACACACGTTGTAATATTTTCTTTTGTTCTTTCTGTCTTTCACAGGTCAAGACGTGGCAGTCTGTCCGCTTCTGCTTCCAACTCGTCTAATGATGGTAAGTATACTCCCTCACTAATATCAAAAACAAAACAAAAAACAAAAAAGCGACAAGACCTCGTCATATCTCTCAGTATTGCAAAATATTTGCTGAACTTCTTTACTCTGGAATATTAATGTGTTCGATTGGGCGGGTGTTGTTTGAACGATATGTCAACTTTTGTTTTAAATCGTTCAGCTGATACTTCTTATATGCTTTGGTTTTTCATGATACACAATAGCTACAAGATTTGGTGTCTTACCCCAATTCACTCAGTTTATTCTAAATCAACAGGGACTTCTATGATTCATCTTGAAATAGTTCCAAAACAAAGACATATCAACACAATTACTCATTAAACCAACCACGTTTCCAACTGGTTATTGTTTAAAGCAATAATTACATTGCATTGTTGTTGTCCGCCATGACTCAGAGTTGACCAGGCGTATTAACATGTCTACTTTATTGTTAACAAATAATGGCTAAGCATTGTATTTGGTTGTCATCTTCAAACAAAAAGTAAAAGTTCAAAATCCGCAAATGTTAATCTAGAAACGCTACTGTTTTGTTTTTGTGCCAACGCGTGACGTATGGTTAAGATAATTTTGTATCATCTGTTTCTTAAAAAGAAATGGCCACAGGCACGTTTGAATAGTTTACCAACGAAACAGAAACTTCAGACAATAAGAAAAATACCAAGATATTTAGAGTAATAGTCAAATCGACCCCACACACTCATTCTTTTTGTTGTCATTGTCTGACATTGTTTGTTTCGAGGAAGGTCAGGGGTTGTCCTTAAAAAGACAATTCCAAGTAGCAAGAGACAAATATTGTGTCATTATATTTTTTTTTGAAAAGGCATTATATATGGATTATATTACATAAGACAATGGGAACGGACCGAATGTTAACAATAAATATGGATTCCATTTATAGCGGATAATGATTGATCTCTATGAACAAACAATTGTCATTAAATGCAGTCATTTGTATGTATTGATATAAACCATCGCGTGTTTCAGAAGAAAACAATTCTAAAGGTCTAAAATTCCCTTAACATAACTGATTGAACAATCCTCAAGTAGATTCTTGGAAAAAAAACTCATTGAGTCATCATTTATTATCTTAATAATTCACAAACTCTTGTTTCAAGAACCAAGCAGGCACAGGGATCATGAAACGGACTAAGAATGCAGGAATCCAAACTTTTTGAAATAGGTTTCCATGTAGGAACATTAAGTGATTTATAATCGGTCGACGAAGACAAATTCAAACATGCTGCGATATCGTGTAGTCCATCTTAAACGTTTTGTCTATGCACGCGGAGGGTATTTTCTCTAAATGGTACATGCACTCTAATTTTACTTTACTCACCGTCCTAGCTTATCGCTGACATTAAACGTTTTTGCTTGTTTGCACATGATGCACATTAGTGTAGACTTTTCGTACATTTAATCGACCCAACCATTTTAATCAATGAACATCAACTGAAGAAAAGAATCACAATATGCCATTTAAGTGTTCATTGTAGATTAAGAAATTACCACGACATGCTGTGGCAAAGACCAACACAGTTAAATGTCAAATTGTTTGTCAAAACATTCGATTTTAAAATTATTTGAATTAACTGATAACATCTCCTTTCATTATGCTGAAATGGCTGTGATTCCATTCGTCCCTTTAAATGTGCAATGAACGAGAGACAACCCCCTCAGAATGAAAATATATGCGTAATTGATGCTTGTATTGTACATCCAATTCTTTTATGAAATGATTCTATCTTTATTACATGCCTTGATGAGAAATGGTACATGATCTAAAGATTATCCTAAAACATGTTACAACAGAATACGAAACATCTACATGAACATCCTATTCAAACTCTCAATACATGCTATGACTAGCTGAAACACACGTGTATAGGATGGTAAAATCAGCTTGGGAGCATTACACAAGGCTAAGTCTATAATCTGTATTATTTATGTACATCGTAACAATAGAATTAGGATACTGGGTCACCGAGGAAGAAAGAAATCACTTGTTCTGGGACATGCATTATATCGGGATGTGATTTGATCTGAATGAGGGTCAGGAGAGTCATTAATCACTGTTATATACCTGTAATACACCTGTAATACACCTGTAATGTACCTGGTAATTAGAGCAGTAGGTTGTACCTGGAACAACAGAATTATTATTTTTATCAGGTGTTATACTTATCGGACGAAACTTGGCGAGTGGTTTAATAGTGTTTTGCTCTCGTATTGTGCAATATGTTCGAATGATTTAATACATATTCTGACAACTGCTATTGTGTAACATTCTTCACCCGAAATTCAATACTTGAAACAACGAAGGTTTGTGTGTGCTCTCCCTGTTTTATGCTCCCGTCTAGTGCTAACTGTATAAATATTTTAATGCAAGTTCTTGTATTGTCAAAACGGAGCATACTTAACTTGCAATTGAAAATTTGATATCGATATACATTAAACGTATGTAAGGAATACTAAGATGATATAGGAAGCATTGTTAAATTGTACATGAATTCGATTAGCAATTACTGAGTGTACTTGTCGTATACCTGTAAATGTTGTCATTCATTGTGACCAGTTAGATGCAAAGTCATAATGACATTATAGCAATCTATCAAACGGCGCTGGTCTCAATGTTAATGAGCGATAGTATTGTCCGAGTAACTGTTGTAGTAATTGATTCGTCATTGTTATAGCCAACGCTCGGGAAATGAACGCGGTGTAGATTCCTAGTGTCCATTAGTAGAGCAGACGACACTCACTCGTGACATGCCATTCCAATAACCGCCATCTTTCTTGTTTTTGCAGGGAGCAGTATATCGTCAATTGGGTCTCTGCGTTCAGAAACGGAAAGCGAGAACATCAGTCTGTCTGGAAACTCGGATATAGACTCCATCATGCTCAGCGACCCCTACCGGATGACAGTTCACTTTCTTGCGGACGCGCACGAGATTTATCCAATGATGGATATGTATCAACCAGTGATTGATTGGGTTGATCCAGATTTGCATATATTTAAAATATCTGAGAGGACAGATTTTAGTGACGGCGACAACCAATCATTTTCTATGCAAACGTCTTACTTGCCAAGCGTCTCTCTGATGGTGTTTCTTCACGAGGAAGGCATGTTGGGATGCGAACGGATCCAAAACGCCAAAAAACATTTTGAGAAATCCCCGTGGAAATTTCACCATTCGGAGGAAGTTTCTCGTGGGCGGGTTAACCCTTACCCTTACAACAGTCAAGACTTTTACTACACCTCAGAGGACCTTCCGCTCTGGGCGGTGAGACAGGTACATTATGGGAAGGAACATATACGGGTGGTTGTGTTTGCAAGTGAGGACAACTGGAATGATATGGTTCAGTTTTACAAACTAATAATAGGAACAGAACCGGATCTGAACCGAAACGACTTCTGTTTATTTACAATTCATACGCATTTGAACTACGATGTGCAGTTCGCACTGAAGAAGATACAATCCGATATAAAGCCTCGCGCATTAGACTGTGTTAAGCTGCAATTCAGGGTCTCGGATGTGGGGCACATTGTGCCGTTGTTTCCAAACGTTTGTAAACCCCTGTCGGACACTAGATGGCAGACGACAGACCACGATGGAAATGTGATAGTGTTGGAGGTGACGGGGTGCAACCCGTCACCTTCGGAAAAAGCCAGTCATGTGTCTCGACACAGTTCGGACAGGTCAAACCGATCTGATCAGTCAGGCAGGCTATCACATAGGTCTGACCAATCAGACAGACTGTCACGTAGGTCCGACCAATCAGACAGTTTGTCACATAGGTCTGACCAATCAGATCGGTCGTCACATAGATCCGACCAATCGGACAGATCATCACAAAACTCGTTGAATTCAGGAAATTCTGACAGGACAGTTCAATTATCTAGTTTCTATGTATGATATATTTATGTTTATGTCAGTGTTATGTCTCTGGTATTACAAACAGGTAACGAACATAATTCAGATTCAATATTTATGACAGAGTATATATCTGCCTGTACCCAGGTTCTGGGATATGAAAATATATAGAGTCTAAGTCAAAATTTGAATGTTCAGGAAAACCTCATTTTGTTGCCAACATTTGTCCAGGAAAACTTCGTCATTATCAGGGTATTGGCGATAAATCGAGGGAGACGAAATGTGTTTAAATGGATATTTACGATAATAGTTAAAATATCGACTCGAAATATGCTGGCATATGAAACGATGAGCAATGTATCGAGGTTTTACGGTTGTAACGCTACTTATCAAAATATGAATCTACATGCATAATTGTCTCGTATTGTTTTACGGCCCATCGATAATTTAAATAATTTAAACCCAATTAATGATTCAAAGGCCTGGTGTACCTGGCTAAAGTTGACAAGGGAACAATACAATGTTTTTCTAATATCATACGAACGAACGGCAGTTTATACCGTTATTGTCTCTTTGTTAACCACGAAACATCACTGTTGTTTCATCTTCTCGCTCTCTGTGTACTTACTTTACTCATTCACCCCTGAAATTTTATGATGAACTAGTCCTACCTTTGATTTGGAAGAGTTCAGATTTGTCTTCAGGGATGAATGAGCCATTCAATCACTTTCTGTAAGAACAAATTTTGGAAATTTGCCTGATAAAACAAAATATCATACCTCTAATTAAATAGAAACCCTCGAGGTGATATTGGGTAATATGTTGTTTATCTAGTGATATTTTAAGCAACCGTTGTATAATTTAGGTACATATTCAAAATCTTCATTCCTTTTTCTCTAGATATTGACATATCAATGTAACAAAAAAAAGGATGAACTAGTTTTATATATGTATATAATGAATTGCCAAAAGCAGATCTAATCAGATAGCACTATAAAGGTTAGAGGCAAAACTCAACGTGACGTATCTCAGTTTGGCGCTGATGTACTGGAACAACCTGAAGGCCTTTTACAATAATGATCATTTATCTGTAGATGGCGAAGTCAAATAAATAAATGGATGTCGTCTTCAATTTTATCTGTTTTTGGCATCATTTTTGTGTTCAAAAGTTTAAAGGTAAAGTTGGCGCCAACCTAACCTGTCAATCAAGTTTATCATGTTTTCAAATGACGGACTTCTTAACTTTTAGTTGCTTTAAAACAAAACGAGTGAGTCAGACCGCGTAATTTATCAATAAATGAAGACGTGAAATTTAAATGATATTGTTTTTATCAGTAATCGCGGGCTTCCAGCGTTTCTGGTCTGATTGAATAGAACAAATTACACATTATAAATCACTGACTTGAAACTTAAATAAGCTTACAGTATAAACAAAAATATATCTGGTTATACCATTAACGTACATAAACAATGACAATTTAATTACTTAACAGTCTTGATCTTCCAGATATTAATCAACTAACAATGGATAGGACACAAAATTACCGAAACATGTTGTATACACTATTTCTCACGAGCCGTTAGACAGCGACAGTTCTGTCGGCTGATACAAGCTAAAGGCGCCACTTAGTACGAGAACTAACCAATGTCCCTTCCCATATCTTGTCCCAAATATCTTACATCTGATTATAGAGCCTCCAGACGCGTGTCTTTACCTTTTATCACAAAAATCACTGTGTCACTGACTTTGAAAAGGTGTGTACTCTGTGTTGATCGTGTCGATATAATATTATATCAATTTAATCCTAAGAACTGTCTCTACCACTAAAAGGAATAGTATCTTCAATGTTTTTGTAATACATATATAACGCTACAACAAATGCATCTATTAAAGGATTGTCTTTTGTCCTTTCATTTGTTCGGGCTTTTGCATCAGTACGAACAGTTGAATGATAGGTGTCTTTGTCATAGAGTTATAACTGTTTATCTTTTAGCCAGATACAAACCCTCGTGTCACACTATACAAATCGTTCGATAGCGTTTCGAGCCACCCATGTATACACTTTAAGCCAAGATGGAAAACGATAATAAATCAATGTTAAGATGTAAATTAATTCTTGATTTAGACGTCAATGACAAGATTCAAATACAAAAACGATCTTATCTTTAGGACGGAAATAGAAAAAATGAATTCCATATTGAAATTTATATCACCACAAATACATGTTATGGGTGACATCTATTTTAATTTCTATCTGCCACCATCCTCTGAAAATAGACTTCTGTTATGGTTCGTGACGCCATTCCGATATCGACCTTTATCATATCCATTAAATGTAATTTTGTGGTCCATAAATTTTCAGTTTCCAGTTGAACATGTACCGTGTAACGACCCTTGCCAAGGGAAGCCTGACCCATATTTCACTATTCCACCACTTCATCGTGTTCGGATTGGTTTTTATATTTCTTGAATGGATGAGGAGGAACAGCGTATCTAGCGACTCGTTCCAGTGACCACGGAGAGGGTCTGTCAGTCATAAAATAAAATAAAAAAAGCTTTGGACGACATTTGAGATATATTGAATTAAAATGGGATCTGGTCTAGTTACGAAGAAAATTACAATCTTTAAATATGAGTGTAATGAAATCGTGATTGAAGGAAGGTGCGCAAATACATTACCTTAATAGGACCGAATTATTTCAAAATAACCGATCCGTAATGGCGTTTTGATAGAATAAAACACATGCATGGCTATTAGTTTACGTTATTTTATTTAGTCATCACATTGACTTGAAATACGATTCCTTTCTCCGAGCTCAATAGGAAAAGTAATAAAACTATTTGGGTGAAACAGAACAGTAATTGGCTGGCAGCTGGATGCGGGGTGAGGAAATAACAAAATACAGTGGGATGTGTCTATTTCAGACAGTGAAGTGTGCCAAGCACCTGCTAGCTATAGCTAATTTACATATATGTGAAAATTCAGGTAAAAATACGCATTTAATACGACTATTTATTTTAATCAAGTAATAATACCGGTATTAAGCAATAAATTATAAAACAGTCTGTAGACAGTTGTATCTTTTAAACACACGTTCATGATTAAATACAAATAGACGTTACATCCTTCTATGGTACATAACCTTAAACATGGAAGTAAATCTCATTCGTTTTTTCATCTATTACTGTACAGCTTTAATTTTTTGTGTGGCTCTAATTTTCACTATTTCAATGGTGATTATGTTTCTGCGACAACTTTCAGTGAAATGTTTTTATCATATCCGAGAACTTTCACGAACTCATCAATTTACAATAACCAAATCAAATCGCAATATCTCGGCCTATTCCGTCAAAGCTCGGAATCAAACTTTTGATTCCGAGCCTTTCCAGAATTTGCCGAGTTATTGCATTTGCATTGAACCGCGAAAAGATGATCCGTCGAATTGCAAGTTTTATATGATGTGTAAAGTGTTAACAATTTGTAGTAATGCATTAATCTCATTTAATTTGATTAATTTATCAACATCACTTGTGTCACGTTTTCCCTATCAACCTCAGTGTGAATTAAACATGACCCGAGTAGTCTGCCCCTGATCTAGTTGGCCAGCTGTATTCGAGAGTATACACCCAGTGCAATATATCCAACCCAACGAACGGATCGACAATATGTCTGATACAACAAATAGGTAATTATATATCTAGATATATATACATATGTAACCTTTTACAGTCACCTGATTTATATTGATAAAAATATACAAAGTTTGCTGTCGAAAGCTTTTAATTCTTAAAGAGAAGCAAAGATCATATCAAATTGAACACATTTTTTAACTGGTACAAATCATTTGGGTTGGATTTCAAATCGGCAGTATCATTCAATGACGTTGGATATAGGTTTGGAATATACACTGTATCAGATAACGTTGAAACTGCAATGATTGTGAAGAACAAATCATTATTGCAATGTCTATGGCAGAGACTTCAGTCAGCAAGACTCTGCTACACATACCTCATCTGTAGTTAAACATAAACGGTAGCAATGCACTGTTCCACTTTAAATTTTATAATATGAAAGGTTCTGAAGAAAAACTACAAAACAGTTCAAAGAATTGCACCTGTAACATTTATGAAAATGTTATTTGTTGACAACTCCAGAATCCAGGTATATCGATTCCGATATCAGACTCCCTTATTTTCTTAATTGAGAAATTGCCAAAGGTGATGAGTTTGAAGATAAAAGTAGTCCAGTGTCAGTATATGAAATGTTCAAAATAATTAGTAAAATGAATCATTGAAATTTGTATATGAACTCCATTATGTCAATGGGAGAATGTGGAGATATCAGGCTATTATTTCACAGGTGGAAGATTATAAGTATTACATATTTATTTAGACTGTCACTTGTTTATTGATAAATGTATGTTTGTTTTGCATTTCGTTAGAAATGTGATTTTCAAATATTATGTACGGTGTACATGAAATAAAACACGAATATTAAGCATATAAATGTCTGTGTTGTTTTTAAAATGGACTCGAAATAGTCCGTTTAATATGAAAAATGATGCAAGCTGAGTGACAGCTGTCCAAACAGATATTTTGGTAACTATTTTTGAAGAAGAACTTCAACGCATACTTTAACACAAAGGACAGACAACGGATCTTAAAGTCGGCACGAGAGACAACAGAATACAACAGAATTCAAGGAGATACAAAATGTTGAGCCCCTAAAAAGTGGTTTCCTGCATAATGTTTATAATAATAATAATTTGAGGTTCTTATATTCCGTTTTATCACAACCTAGTTCGTAGGTTGTCTCAATGCGGTTCACAAATTATTATCCGTAGTTATAGGGCCTTTGCAACCA